GTAATCAAACCCAGCCAGAAAATGCATTAAACTCACAAAACAAACACTGGTGTTTGCAGCACAAAGCCCTTCCTGTCTCATTAAGATCAATTAAGTTGTCTTGAGCAAACTTTCTCCTTTCTTTCTGCTAAGCCTGGACCATTAAGGCGATCCTCCATCTAAACAAGCTCAACTGCAAATCTGAAGGTGAAAAATGCCCACGCATCAGTGCTTTGCTTCCAGGCAAGCTCTCTCCAAAGCACTGCAAACATAAAGGCGATGAGGCAGGGTGGGCATTCAGGACATCTCTCCGAGAGCCCTTTATCCCCCAAGAAGAATGCACACACACAAGACAGCTCCTCTCCATCGCTCTGGGGACCACCCTGGCTCACCCAACACAGGATCCTCTCCGGGTGAGCGGGCTGTGCTGGCAAGCCGCTGCTGCCCTCCCTGCTCAGCCCGGGTGGATGCCTTGGTGTATTTTTTGGAGGCCGCAGCCAAACCTTCCAGGGCCAAAAGTCCCAGCTGGTGCAGGGCGACGCGCCTCATCTGCGGCGCTGATTTACACGGAGCATCTGCTGCGAGGGGAAGGGAGGAACCCGTTCAAGCACCGTAAATCCAGGTGGTGGAGCGGCCCCCCACTCCCCAGCAGCCAGGGCTGGCTATCCCTGGAAGCAACAAGGGGGAGAACAGCCCCGAGAGAAGGAAGGAAAAGGGGTACCTGCTGTGAGTGGGGATGCATCCCAGGCTGCATCCCGACCCTTGAGGGCTGCTCACAGCAGCAGAGCTGCTGCGGCTCGGGGCACATTCCTACAGAGCCACAGGGACACATCCCTTCTCTCCGGGTCACAAGGACCACATGCGAATTCCCAGTCCGGCAACAGCGACCAGTGACCTGGGTAAGCACCCGAAGCAGGGACAGCAACCGCAAAGACCCTTGGATGTGCAGCCTCCGTCCCCACTTTCTCACAGGCGCGGCTGAGCATCGCACAGAGCAGCGCAGACGTGACTTTGCTGAGAGCCAGCAAGGAGAGGAAAGATGTAATTAAAGTCTTGACTCTGGCTCCAAATATTGCATAATGAAATTAGCCCCTCGGTGCCAGGCTGGGAACTTCCTGCCGAGCGGGCGGGCACAGCCCTCCGAGGCTCTGCCAGCAGCAGGGCCAGCTCAGCTCGCAGGGCATTCACCAGCCCCGCTCCAGGCTGTGGGGCTGCTGAGCTCCCACAAAAATCACTCCCCCAAACCACACAAGGCTCCTGCTACTCGGAATCCCCAGCACGGGAGAGAACAAATTTGCGACTTTGAGCCAAGAAAGTCACTCCCAGATGATATTGCAGAGGAAAGATGATGTTAATTCAACGGGGAGGGTGTCTGTGTGTTGCTTTGGGGTGAAAAAAGAGGAGGGAGGAGAGCTGCCCCCACCACATCTGAGAACCACATGAGAAGCTGATAGGATTTCTTCTAGGAGGCAAATAACATCAAGAAGCATTTTAGAGAAACTAAACACTCTTTTTTTTAATCTTTTTTTTTTTTAGCACCCAGAAGAAGCAGCCATGCAGGTCTTGCCTGATTACTGTGCCAGGTGCTGCAAGCATGTCTGCAAAGGGAAGACCAGGACTCGTGCAGGTACAGGAAAAATTACATGCTTGAGTGGCCTGCTTAAGGGTTTATGCTTAGAAAAAGGAATTAGAGCTTGGCTGGTGTAGGATGTTCCTCCTCTGTTAAGCCTTACCCAGCCCTTTGCTCTGTCCCTTAGCTGGCCCAGCTGTGTGAGAGGCAGCACCTCTGCTCCAAAGGTTGGCTTCATGGGTCCCACCTTGTGTGAGACTCATTCAAGACAGCAAAACTGCCGCGCAGAAAGAGCCAGGAGCTGATGGTGTCATAGCTGATGGTGTCACAGACACTTGCACCTGCATCCTCCCCTTCCACTGGCAAAACTGCTCAATGCCTTGATCCCAAATGGAGGGTGTCAGTAGACCCCACCTTGGAAAGTCCTGTGCCTGCAAAGACATGGGGAGGAAAAGGGAGTTTTGCAATGTGAACTGTGAAGGAGTGGATGGTCAGACCAGCCATGGTAAAGTCCTCAGGCTGCTTTGAAGAACAGCCTCTGTCTCCTGGAGCCCGGGAGAAATCCATGGGGACCCGCTCTGGAGGGTGAGAAGTCTGAAGTTCTCTTGCAAATGAACAAAGCCATTGGTTGAAAAATTGAGTGTTTGCAACGAATTATTTTCAGTAACTGACCAGCTTTACAGACATGCAAAGAATATTCATCAAATAAATTATTCATGATTTCTTTCCACTGATCAGCAAATCAATTAGCCACAAACCTCTCTCCAATTATTCATCCAGCTCGAGCGGGATAAATGGGGAGATTTATGACACAGACAACAAACTAATGTGTATTTCCAAACAGGGACCCTTAAGATCCATAAACCTTGTTCTGCAATGGCTCAAATGACCCTGTGCTCACTCACAGTTAAGCTCTCTGAGCTCATGCCCTGTGTGCTGCCTGCTCTGTAAAGTCTCCTGTCACTCAGCACTCTTGGGAGGTGAGGCAGTGTAGATCTGTGGTATGGAGAGACATGGTCTCAGGGAGCTCAGCAGGGCTCACAAGTAATCTGGAAACACCCCTCGCTGAATAAATGAGTAGATATGGCAAGGTCAAACACAAAACCTGATGCAGAAGTAACCAGCGGTCTGCATAAGGTCAGGTATGACAATGTACAAATCTCTTCAGCTATAAACTCCACAGTTATGGACCTGTTGGGAAGTTGCATTTGTGCAATTTAACCTCTACTGTTATAATTCCCCATAAAAGCACTCTCACACCAAAATTAAGGCATGTTGACAATATTAAGCTGCACAGTAAATGTAAGTAAGGGTTATGAGACTAACAAATAGTCAAATTAGCATAAGAGCTGGCTTTGCCTCGCTGGAGTAACACCATTAGAGTCTGTAAAAGCGAAGCATAATTCAGCATAAGTGTGATAAGTGACCAGAACTGCACAGAGATATCTCCAAATTGCCCTGCTTTGCAAGACTTCCCATGCCAACCACGCTGGTGCTCCAACTCAGAAGTGATGCCTGCCTGCCATACTTGGCGTGGACATAGGTCCCTCATGGCAATCTACAGTACTCCTTGTTAATATGGTTGGAAATTAGGCTTGTGGCTGGCTTGCACAGATAAAGTGAGTCCAGATGTAGGGAGGGCAGCTGCTGTACATGCCAGGCAGAGCTTCTTTTCCTGCAGTGAACAGGCACAGGAACAGCAAGACTCCAGGGGGAAAAGCATCACTTGCAGCTTTGATTGATCTGGTTAATGGATTAAGCTCATATTCATCTAAATACACTTGCAGCCTTAATCTGCTTTCATCCCACTGCCTGGGAGGGCTCCCTTCTCACAAAGTCCCATCCATAACTCCACAGGGTTATTTCAGCTGGAGCAGCTTTGAGTACAGGCAAGAGGCTGTAAAGACACCCAGCTTCTGCGTGGTGACCTGGTGCAGAGCAGCCTCCAGGCTTTACCTCCAGAAGCGCTTGGTTTCTCTGGGTTTGCTAACTCTCCCACAGTTAGCATCCCAGTATATCCCAGAACTGTAGCCACATCAGGGAACTGAAGCAGTCAGCTGTGACAGGGGCAGCTGCAGCTTGGGAGAAGTGGGAGCCCCTGGGCCAGACAATTCTGCATCTCAGAAGGGTCCCCCATTCCTACCTGAAGGGACAATTCTTCCCTTTGCAGGGTGTGAAGTGGCTCCTTCTCAGTGAAGCGCTGTGAGCCTGCAAGCAGGGCTCAGCCTGGTGTCCCTCTGCTCCTCGGTTCTCAGTGCTGCACATCCTCGGTGATGAGGACAGCCAACCAAGGAGTCACTTCTCCTAGATCACCAGTTCTGCGTCCCAGGAAAACTCTTTCTGAGGCTACATGTCTAGGACGGGGCTCACCACTCTTCAGATGCTGCTGTCAAAAGCCAAAATCTACGGAGTTAAGAGATTTCTTGCAGCATCTGTACCCATCCCTGTCACCCACACGCAAAGCCCACTCATGCCAGGGTAGTTTCAGTGCCCTGGGGTTGGAGCTGCTGCAGCAATATTCCCGGAAAAGGATCGTACCTGTGCCTGGACAGGGCTGGGAGAGGTAGGAAGTTGAGAGCTGTGGCAGGAGGGGCACTGTAAAATGGGTACCGAGGCAGGGCATGAGCCTGACTTGTGCTGCCGGCGGGATGGCGTGCGATCTCTGCTGTGGGGTCGTGGGCTGTGCGGGGCGGGAGAAAACTGGGCAGCCCCTTTCCCATTTCCCCTCAGAGCTGCCGAGCCACACCCCGGGCACAGCCAGGAGAGTTCCAGTGCCCGGGGCTCTGGGGATGACCAGAGGGCTCCCCAGGGTAGGCACAGGGAGTCCTGGGCTCTGGCAGTGGCGTCGCTGAGCACTCCAGGGCTCAGGGACTGACAGCAGCGCAGGGATGGAGGCGGGAGGAAGGAGGCAAAGGGTCTGGATTTTGATGCCGCTCTTCGGTCCCAGGGATGAGTTCGGCCGTGCCGAACAAGTCCCTGACCCAGGGACTTGGTCTTGGACGAGTCCCTGACCCAGCGACAAAGGGACGGGTTCCCGGAGGACGGGTTCCCCCCGGACGCCGAGAGCGGGGATGGGGGACCCTGCAGGATGCCGGTGGAGAAACCCCCGGCTCCCGGTGTCGGGAGTCCCGGGGGACGGGGCTGTGGCCGGGTGCTGCGGCCGGAGCGGTGGACCGGGGGCACCGCCGGCCCCTCCCGGCGGCGGCCGGTGCCCGCAGCGCCGGCGGCGCGGGGCGGAGGGGCGGCGGGCACGGCCCCCTCGCCGCGCCGCCCCCCGCCCGCCCCCAGCGCCTCCCGCGGACGGCGGAGCGCGGCGCGGGGCCGGCGCGGGGCGGCGAGCGGCGGCGGGGCGGCCGCATCCCCCGACGGCAGCGGCGGCGATGCGGCGAGGCGGGGCGGCGGGCGGCGAGGCGGGGCGGCGGGAAGCGCGGCGGGGGCGGCGGGGCTGAGCGCCGGGCGGCCGGGGCTCCTCGGCCCCGGGGGGGGCACCCGCCCGCCCGCCCGGCGCCGCACCCGGCTCCGCACCCGGCACACGGATTTACGGCGCGGACTGCAGCCTCCGGAGCGGCCCGGCAGGTAAGGCACGGCCGGCGGCACCCGGGGGCCTCGCCGTGCCCTCCGCGCATCCCCCCTCATCCGCCGCGGTGTCGTCTCGCCGGGCTCCGGACGCGGCACAAGTTTCCCCCGTTGCGGTCCCAGCGGGCACCGGCTCCCGCTTCCGCCGCCCCGCCGCTCCCCCAGCGGATGCTGCGGCGATGGGCTGCGCGCCCCCGCTCGCCGCTCGTCCTCCCCTCCGCTCCCCCCGCAGCCCCGAGCCCCCGGCGGGACAGCGGCGCGGCCCGGGGTCCCGCTCGGCACCGGGGGGGATGCGGCCCGGGCACGGGAGAGAGCGGAGTCGGCTCCTCGGGCTGCTGCCGGAGAAGGTTCTGTTGCTTCGGATCAAACTTGGCTTCGGGGAACCTGGCCTCGGGGTGAGAGCCCCGGGAGGGAGCGGTGGGACGGGGGAACCCCGAAGGACATGCTCGGAGCCTGCTGCTGCTCAGGGTGCGGGTGTCTCGCCCCGCGGGGCCCGTCCCGCTGCTGGGGATGCTCCCCGCTAGGCCTCGGCTGGAGGCTGAGCACCGTTTTGGAGCTCGGTTCTCCGCAGGGAACGCGGACTCCTTCCAGCCTTGTGGCAGGGCTGAGTGTCGGGAGGCTCGGGATGCTCCCGTTTCCGCCTTGGGAACGCGTTCCCTTCGCAGTCGACCTCAGAAAGCGAGTAAGGGAGAGGGGACATAGCCCACGGGAGAGGCAGCACAGCCGGGGACATGAGGAGGGGGTCAGGTTTCCCTGAGAGTGCTGAGCATGTTCTGAGTGGGACTTTCCTTCTCCTGCCCCGGTCGCGGAGGCGCTGCCCACCGCAGACCCGATGTGCCCCAGGGGCCATGGGTGATGCTGGGGGTCCGGCCTTGCCGGGGCCATCGGGTGCGGATTTTACCGGGGTGCTTCCCTGTGCGTGGAAGATCCCTGTTTGCAGCCTTTTCCCTCTTTTTCCTGCACGGTGGCAGACTGTCGCCATCGACCGTGCAGACGAGCTGTGCGGCTGAGCTGTGATTTCCCGTGGGCGTGGGGTATCGATCTGTGGCTCTGCCCTGCGGAAGGGAAGGTGTGCTCAGCCCAGCGCATCGCCTGGGAGACACCTCTCCTGTGCTCCTGCTCTGGGGACGTGTCACATCTGGAATCCTCCCTCTGGACATGCTTCTGTCACACTCCTCCTCGGGTAGCCGGGCAGCTGGCACCAGGATTTAGGCGTCCCGTGGTGGTTTGTGCCAGGAAACTGGGTGGCTCTAGCTGTGAGCCACCTTCACGTGGGCCCACAGCAGTGCCCAGTCCTGGCAGGATCCCCTCCACGCCTCCCACGCTGGCTGTGCCCCGCGGGTCCTGCACGGCTCCTCCATCTGCCCATCTCCTCGATCTCCTGATGCTGAGTGGGGCTGCATCCTGCCCGCGGGATGTCTGCCCTGTGGGCATGGATCACAGGCGGCATTGGGCTTTCTCCCAGCTGCCTGTTGTGTACCGAAGGGTGGCCTGGGTTTATCTGCAAGAACGGATGTGAGTACGGGGGTCTGATCACTGCGGGTAAAAATCCTCCTTCAGAAGTCCCCCTCTCCTGAGCATTGCTAACGTAAGGTGAAATAAACACAGATTCTGCAGTTTTAGGGCTCCCTACGGGTTTTGCCACAACCAACAGTAGATGGGACTGAATATAAACTGGGTTTTTAATAGGTTTCCCTGGATTTTTATCTGTTTCCCGATGCAAAGCTCTTGCTGTCAGAATGAAAACAGATGTTTGGCTGCCTGTTTAAGCCAGAAACGCCTCTGGTTAGGACGCTAGCACTACTAGGATCTCCAGCCCCATCCCCTTTACCTTGGTGGCTTCAAAGGCTGCCTGAACATAACTATTCTTAAACTCTGGTTGCTGCCAGAGAGGCATCCCTCTGCTCCCTTTAAAAAATAATAAGGGAAATACATACAGAAAACTGTGCAAATGGTGGAGGAGGGTCTCCGAGCGATGCGCTGAGGGAAGTGAGCATGGCTTGGCACAGCAACTCGGCTGGAGCTCGAGTCTGGCACCGAGTCCCCAGTGCTGCTTCCCCGTGTCCTCGTGGGGCTCTGGGTGCCTCGCTGTGCCCTGCAGGCACCCCAAGGAGCCCTTCAGAGGAAGCGCAGAGGCGGATCTGGGCCCTTGCTGTGAAGAGGCAGCAGCAGCAGTGGCGTGAATATCCATCCCCACGAGTGCCTGTACACACACCAACATGCGAGACAGCCTGCTCACTCTGTTCTTTAGCCCATGGATCCAGAGAGAGAGTGCTTTCCTGTGTCTGCTTCTCTGCTTTCACAAACTGAGAGCTTGCTGGTTTGCTGTGGGACGCCTAAAAGCACAGCCTGTGCACCAGGTTGGAGATCATCAACTTGGTTTTCTTGTAGTTATTCTGAGAGCAATGCTGCCCAGGGGTGGTGGCAGGAGGGTCCTGCTGGTGCTGCTGCAGGCTCGGGGTGTACACAGGGGTACAGAGCAAGGTGGCACTTGCCCAAAAGGCCACGGCAGGGCTCTGCTGAATCCCAGCTCCCAGTATGCTCCTTCTGCCCGTGCAGCTTGCTGCCGGTGCCCTGACAAGTAGCTTTGTGTGTAAATGGGGATTTCTTCAAAACTCCTGGGAGGAGCAGCTGACGACAAATAGCTCAGTGGCAAAAATGTGTGTGTGTGTGTGAACTACAGTCTGAACGGGAGAGGGAAAACATCCAGTTACAGAACTAATGCAAATGGAGTTGGCTTTCATCTCTCCCTGCAGCATCCTTTGTGGAAGGCATTTGCATTTCCCCAAAGTCAGTTTGCTACCTATCCTTCAAGCAAATCCGGAGCTAGAGAGCAGAGGAAAGCCTGTTTACAAGGTGTGGGGTGGCTTGCCAAATCTAGAGAGAGCTGAACTCAAAATATTTGATAATGAAACATCTTATTTTAAGGTAGCTACAGTGAACACAGCAGAGGATGGCACACACAGGCTGCAGTGTGTGCTCCACTGCTGAGTGCAGGGTCGGGGGTTCATTCCTGAGCTCCTGCTGCACCAGTTCTTGCAGGTGACCCATCCAGGAGGGTGACGGTGAGGAGGGGTCTCATGAACTCCTCTGACCTCCCCCTGGCACAACTCTGAAATGCCATTGGGATGTGGCATTCCTGCCGGGGGATCCTGGAGCTGTCCAGCATCACCCTGTTATGTGTGTGGGAAGACCCCCGTGGCTGCCATCAGAGATCCACCAGCCCTGCGGTCCTCAGGTGTCCTCAGTGGTGTGGGGGCTCCTGGGTCTGGCAGCTGCCAACAGCTCCAGGGTGGACTGCTGCCATTCTGGAGGAGCCTCCAGCCTGGAAGACAGAGACAAAACAGGATTTCAGGAGCACTTCAGCAACAGCTATTAGCTATGCTAAAAGGATTACCAGCTCTGCAGGACTCATCAAGTGTTTAAAACATAACTCAAGCATCAAAGGCAACTCTTAAAGGCTCACATTTTCACATCAAGTCGCTGTGAAAATTTCTATCCAACTTAATTAAAATATTCACTAGGCTCGTTAAAAACAAAAAGAGAAAAACAAAGGCCTTTTTTCCTTAAGTACCAAGCCATTTTGAAGAGAGGAGTTTACAGCAAAGTGTGCATATTTCTTTGTTACAGAGTCACCTCTGTGAAAGTCTCCTGTCTCTAGATCACTGTGTCTGACTAAGCTCAAGCTCTCCGAAAAGGAAACAAATACTTTGGTATTGTTTTTGTTGTTTTGTTTTGTTTTTCCTGGCTAGGGACCACAGAAGAGAGATGAAAAAGTGAAAAGAGCTTTGTAGAGAAAGTTAGATAAGAGGGTGGGGGAGTGTCAAAACCAGACCTATAATAGGAAACAAGCCACTGAAGTGCTGGTGAAAGTACCTTTTATCTTGAAGGCTCCAAGTGCTGTGCAGTGCATTAATACACATAAGAGCTGAAAAACAGTCCACAACAACTGGCACCACCACCTTTGCTGGCAGCAGAGTCACCCCAGGTGGGTCACAAGCTCATTCATCTGTCCCTGACTGCCTCTCTGTTTTGTCTGAGTTCATTTTTGGGCCACTCACTTGAAGAAGGACATTGAGGTGCTGGGCAACCAAGGTGGTGAAGGGTCTGGAGCACAAATCTGATGAGGAGTGGCTGAGGGAGCTGGGGGTCTCAGGCTAGAGCTGGGGGGGCCAGAGGGGACCTTACAACCACCTGAAAAGAGGCTCTAAAAAGGTGAGTGTTGCCCAGTTCTTCCAGGTAATAAGTGACAGGGCAAGAGGAAATGGCCTCAAGGTTCACCAGGAGAGGTTTAGGATGAATATTAGGGAAAACTTCTTCATGGAAGATTGTCAAGCTCTGGAACATGCTGCCCAGGCAAGTGGTTGAGTCACCATCCCTGGAGGAATTGAAAAGATGTGCCACTTAGGGGTGTCATTTAGTGGTGAATTTGGCAGTGCTAGGTTAGTGGTTGGACACTACAACCTTAGCAGTTTTTTTCCAGTCTAAATGATTCTATGATTCTGTGTTTTGGCTGAGGTGGGATGTTGCTAATCAGTCCCATCCCAAGCCCCTTCCCATGTGTGCTTGGTCCTGGTCAGCATCACCATCATGTTCCACAGGGCTGTGATTTAATTCTCCTTCCCCATGATGTGCCCTGTCTCAGGGACACGGGGTCATCCCCAGGCTTCAACATGTATTCACCCTGACCACTCTCGCCCTGCTCAGAGGCCCCAGTTGTTTTCAGTGCCCAGGGAAGGTGTAAAACAGGTAGTCAGACTCCCTCTGCACGAGGTGTAACCGGAGTGGTGCCACTGGAATTATGGGTGCATTAAACACAGTATTTAAATTACTGAATGATTTTTTGACATTCATAGAGGCCTTGAACATTGTAGGATTTCATTCCATTATGTTGATTTTCTTGGTTTTGATTAATACTGAATCAGCATCCCCAGAAAAGGAATAAACACATCCTCTCCTTCCTCTTGTTTACAAATCAGTTTGATTTCTTCCTCTTCACA